GCAGCACTCGTTGCATTGAGGCTTAGATCACATGGATCATCAACCAGCTATCAGGCAGTGTGCAACCTCCAGTTAAGTTCAATCAGCAACATAATGATAAAATGATATATTCTGGTTACCTCTGGTTATTCTCTCTGGACTATTTCCTAAAGATACAACACATTATTTATTTTGTTAGCTGAAACTGCTTTATAAAAACATCACTTCAACAAAACAATCTAGTTCCACAAACTCAACAACACATTTTCCAACTAGTTTAAGAATTTGTCACCTGACAAAAGCGAGCTATTCTTCACCTTAAGGAAACAGTTCATTTATCAAATCACAGTAATTTCTTGTACAGTGCATTTACTCCTGCTGCATACACATCCAAATAAACCTCCTACATCAGCATTCCCAAATGAAACTATGACTAGCATTAACGTGGACTGATTTTGTTACAGTTTGAAGCTTGTACTTTTTGTTCTCCTTCCCTTCCTATTTTCCAGGATTGATTTTGCTTACTAATTTCAGATTTCACAGTAAACAGTTTGGGGCAGCACATCCTTTGGAAGCAAGTCCTGCCAGGCCCTGATGTCAGCATGCTTTACCCACAAAATTAAAAGGTAATGTTGCATGGCATCTCTTCCATAGCAACGGAGAGTGGCACTACATCACAACTCAGGGTAAACTCACCTTTGGTTTAATCAAACCACTGAGTCAACGTGGTCCACTGCCAAGACACAGGGCAGCACAGTTAGCAGTGCAATGTTTTACAGTCAGGTCCACACACATCCATGTGACTCACGGCACACACTTTCTCTTTTGACAGAATGTATGCCAGGAATAAGTAAATTGTCTAGCATGGGGCATTTTAAACCATCTACCTGAATCATAAGTGGGGATAAACCCTGGGTAAACAAAAAACTCATTGATAATTACACTTTTTTAAACTCCAGATTGGCTTGCAATAAGCTTTCTGAAGTGTATGACTCAAATAGGCACTACATTTCAATAAAAACAGAGCTTTCTCAGTGTAAATAAGGGTAGTAATTAAGCCAGTCCTCAAAAGCAAGATATTAAGCTAAATCCTCATCCTTGTAATTTAAAAATTAAATGAGTCACTAAGATCTACAAGGAAAGATACAAATTAATTACAAGGATCCAGAAAATAAGGTAAAAGTGAATTGTGAAATTTGTACAGCTCAGGAAAGCCTGCTGAGCTATTTCACCGCTAATATTGTGAAAAGGAGCCCAAGAGTTACTCCTCATCTCAGAAAGAGGCAGGAGAAAGAGTAAGAAAATATGATGGTAAATACTACCACTACACAGACTAATGAATTTAGTGTTTTGGTCAATATAGCATCACATGGACTTCTCAGAAAAGGGGTCAAGACATGGCACAGAAGGCACTGAGGTACAGGTAAGATTTGCAGGAAAACTGAATCAAAGATCCCATGTTACTCTGAATAAAGTTTTCTGAACTGTTTTTCACTTGAGTCAAGAAAAAAATGAAAACAACAAGACCAAAACCAAAAGCCAACAGAAACTGAAAAAATGTACCTAGAACCAAGCATCCCACCGTATTCTATTTTGGAAACTCTGAAATCAGGCACTTCTGATACTACTCGCAGGATTTATGATCCGCCACCTTGGTGATCTCCAGCAGCGTCAGTGACCCTGGCAAGGGCATCAGCTGCTGACTCACCAGCAGGGGAAGGCAGCTCCAGCCAGTTCTGCCAGGGCAAGAGGCATTAGATTTCTACAAACCACAACAGGAAGGTGTGAGCCCTAGCTCCTGATCCCTGACACCTCCAAACGACCCAGGAACCACAGACAATAGTCAAGAATCCTGCAACTAGTGGGCCCATCATATGTCAAGTGAGAGCCGCCCCTTGTTTTGTTTGACCATCAGACTCAGTTATACCTTTTTCTTTTTCTTTTTTTTTTAAAATAGGTTTTAGTAGCCAGCAAGACTGCAACAACTGCACTAACAAGGGAGTGCCCAAGTACCAAAACAAACCGACCCTTATGGCAAAACTGCTGTAACTCTTCCCAAAGTCCTTGAGGTTTCCAAGAACCCCACAAGTTTTTTGAGATAAACACTTGGATCATTCATGCTTTCTTTTATACTCGGTGGAAAGCAGATGAGTACATGAGCATGTCAGGTCACAACTCATTTGCTTAAGCGTACAGGGCTGAGGTGAATCACATCCGGGAATGCTCATCCCTCTCCTGGCTAACCATTTTGGAGATGGATGAGTACATATGGCCAGATCAATGCCACCTTCAACACCATTCAACACGTGACAGATTTTCAAAGATTTTGACCTTGGGATAATGAAAGATGGGGATATAACAGGTAATGCAGAAAAAAAATCTAGGATACAGAACACCCATCCTGGTTTACTAACTTACTAACTCTGGGTCAGCATTGACTGCAGCTGACCCCAAACAACTCTGCCCAAAGCACTGAAATATCTCCCCGCACTACGCAGCCTCACAGTGCTGATAGTCAGTAGCACTAGTTTCTCCAGAGAGTTAAATCAGCAGGATTTCCTAGCTCATCCTTCAGGAGTGGCAAAGGGGCTGTGTCGCATCCCCATCTGCCTTTGTAACCAGGATGGCAGAACCAATAAATCCCATCAGGATCAAGCCAACATCTACTCAGCACATCTGCAGACAAAGTAACTCTATTTTTCTCCTGCCCCACTCTACATTGATGCTTTTAGCATCACAGATATGGGGCAAGAGAAGAAAATTAAACTTACCAGTTTGCTTTCTATTCACTTAAACCTAGGATACAATTGGAAGTGACATTTCTGAAAGGCTACCAAAGTCTTGTTAACCTGTCCTCAGGGTTAAGGAACATGCTAGATCAAGAGTGAACTAGGTAGCAGAGGCAGTAATTGCAGTAAGACCCCTGCCCTCCTTCACTCGAACCATATTTCTCCCTCTCTTCTTTCCCATGTACTTTTTCTTCTTTTCCCACTACTCTTTTTTTTCTCCCTCCCTCTTGCACACACCAGGCCAGCAACTGTGCACAACATTAGCTAGAGTGGAACTCACTCCTGTCATCTCAGAATCATGCTATTGTTAAGGTTGGAAAATGACTCCAAGAGGACCAAATCTAACTATTTCCTATGTCACACAACTGAAAGCAGAGACACAGAACTCAAGCATACCAACATGAGAATGAATACTACCTGCCACCTGGCAACAGACTACTCAGGAAGGAAGGAGGAAGAAAAAAAAAAAAAGAAAGGAAAAGAGAAGGAAAAAAAAAGGAGTGACAGATCTTGCAAAAATACGCCTTGGAACTGGTTTCTCCAGTAACTGGTTAAACAGTTACTAGCTTCCTCTTCTCTGAGATAATGCCTTCCGATTAGAAAAGATATTGCAAGAATATACTCCATGAGGAGTGAAGAGCATATTGCATCTCAACCACACACACAACGGAAGTGCCTGAATTAGAAGCCTAGTAGACCTCAGGTTTCTGTTACACCCACTTGAAATAAGAAGTGCCTTCTGAACACGCCTCCTCACTGTTAAGCACAGCCCTATAAGCAGCAAGACTCAAAATTTTACAAATACCACCAAAAAGTGGCATAAGTCAGGGACTAAACACCAATTAGCTCCCCTGCCCAAAAAAAACGGCTTTAATTCAAAGCCAACGTGACCATCTAAAGCATGCATGTGATAGAGCACAGTCAAGGTCTGACCCTGTCAGATCACTCAAAATGCAAGATACTTCAAGTACTTGAATGCAAAGCTTGTAACTTTCAAAGCTTGTGGCAAAGCTTGCTCCTGCTTTGTTCCAGGGTCAGCACTTGCAACTACGGAGCCTGTGCCGTTACAGTCTTTTGCATTATATGGAAAGCTTGTCCAAAAAACATGTCCAGATGGCCACTGAAGGCAACACAAGTTGGTAGAGCACCTGACCAGAAGGATAAATTTCTGCCTGTTCTTTCCAAGTGTTCATTGTATTTACCTCTAACTTGGAGACAGCAGTCAAGCATCAGCGAGTGAACTAAGGGCTTCAAGAGGCATTGCTGTGCCACTGCAGAGGGTCCCACATGACGCTTGCATTGCCATGTGTGACCACATCTTCAACACTTGTCCCCGTGGCTTAGCAGAGCCCACAGAGGCAGGCAAAGGGAGGCAGGGTAGGGTGTCCTTCACCATGCCGTCGTTGTTCAAGCACAAAGTAACATTTGCAAATGACCACAGGCAAGTGAGCCGGCTATCAAGTGAGCATCATTATCATCAACTCTTTGGCTCAGATCTGCAGCCTGTGTAGAGCTGCAATTGCCTTTCTGTCACGACTCTATACAGCACCTACAAAAACACCACCTTGCTCCAAAATTAAAGTTTCTAGCAGCTGACAACAGAGATAACTAGCAATTCCCAATCTAGTCTCAATCTTCCTCTCCAGCCGTAGCTACACACAATTTTCCTCTTAAGGATTTTTAGTGGGTTCCCCTTGCTCCATCACATCTGTCACCCACACATTCACACATACATATGCAGAAAACGATGAAACGCATCATCTCTTAACCAGAACAGCTGCCTGCAAAGTACTGACAATCCAAACGGAGATAATTCCCTGTCCTGCTCAGAGGAGCGGGTTTGGGAGCAGCAGGCTCCAAGAACTCCTGGGATACCGGGCTAGCTATGAGCCCTATGGGCGATACCCCCATTCTCGGTAAATTCTCAGTCTTCTGCAATTTGACTTAGGAAGCAAAGCACAGCACGGCAGAAAAGGGCTTCGGGACATGGCCCAGGGTCTCTCCTCGGCACCGGGGCCTTCACCTCCAGCACAGCACGCTCCCTGCGGCTGCTCGCCCCGCAGAGAAGCTAGGCAAAAGAAGGGATGGGGGTGGCGGTCAGGCGAGGCAGGGACGCGCCGCGGGGCCCGCAGCGGGCCGGGAGCGCCGCGCCGCGCCGTGCCGCGCCGTGCCTGCTGCACCGCGCGAAATGGACGCACCGCGTGGGGCCCGCCCGCCCCGTCCCACACTCACCCAGCCGGGGGCTCGGGCAAGCGGCGAGGCAGCGCAGCCACGACCCCCGGCTCCCCGCCGCCGCCTTAGATCTCCTGCGCGGACACGCCCGCCCGGCCCTGCCTCCCAATGGATGGCAGGCGCTGTTACACGTGGTGTAGGGGTGGGCCGGGGGTAGCGGCGGGATGGAGGGGCGGCCCGGCCCCTGGGAGCCCGGCGCAGCGCCCGCGCAGCTGAACCGCGTGGCGGGGCACGGCCGCGGAGGTGGGGCAGGAAGCGGCTTCACAAGCCAGCTCCCTGCAGACGGCTCATGCCGCGCTGAAAAGCTACTCGGTTTTTCTTTTTCTCCTCGTGCTCCCTGGGAGTAGAACTGAGGGCCTGGGTTGGACTAAATCATCCATTCAGCTGTAGCACACATCCTGCTCTAAGAGCTGATGGATTCTGCAGAACGTGGTTGAGCAAGGGATGCCAGCATAAAATGGATGCACTGGGTTATCACAGAATGTTAAGGGTTCGGAATGGACCTTAAAGTTCATCCGTCCTAAACATTCCTGCTGTGGGCAGGGACACCTCCCACTCGACCAGGTTGTTCAAAGCGTTACCCAGTGTGTCCTTGAAGACTGCCAGGGTTGGGTTATCCACAGCCTCCCTGGGCAACCTCTTCCAGTGTTTCACCACTCTCAGAGTAAAAAATTTCTTTCTAATATCTAACTTAAATTCCCCACCTTTTCAAATTTTACCCATTACTTCTTGTCCTATCACTATAGTTCCTGACAGAAAGTCCTTTTCCAGCTTCCCTGTTGGCCCCCCTAAGATACTGGAAGGCTGCTGTGAGGTCCCCACACAACCTTTTCTTCATGCTGAACAGCCCCCGATAAGCACAGTAGAACAGCATTTCACTCACTTGATAAGGAACGACTTCCTACCAAGGACAGTAGAACAGAACAGTACAGCCTTGGAGAAATAAATAAAGGATGTAAATCAGGCAAACAAAAGTCATGCAAAACGCAAGCAGGATACCCGATCAGCTCTGCAAGGCTGAAATAGTAGAAGTTAAGCAAAGCAATGATACTGTATTTAATCAAAAGCAGGGGTGAAAGAACATCCCCCTGAAAAGGACACTGGAATTTGATGGCAGACCCCAAAGAACCAATAGAAGGTCTTTCATAAGTGTTGTGACTTTGTAAAATAAAGCCAAGGAAGTAGGGATAGCTAATGAATATGTAATCAGCGTTTATGATAAAAACTGTACACCTGACACTCAGGGCATCAATTAGGGGAAATGTCCTCAAAAAGCCCAGCATGTTCTAATAAAGAATGCCTGCTACCTGGTACTCAGAACTGTGCTAGAAAGTTTCTATCCAGCTAATTTCAGTACCACGTCTCCCTGTCTGTCTTCACAGAAGAGGTGTTTGTCTTGGTTTACAAGATAGATGTCTTCTAGGGAAGGCAGAAAAGCCTCCCTTGGAGCAGAGAATGTGAACATCTTCCCTCCAAATTATTGTAATCTTGAAATTAAGGGGCTCTCAGGCAAAGATATGGGAGTAGGAATATCAGTTCTTTACTGGTATGTACAGTAAAGCGAGCAAACAACAACTACTACAGCATTAACACCAGACCGAGCCCGGAACGCGCTGACACCTTTTGGGGCGCCACTTTCCCTTCCGTGCAGTTCCGGGCACGGCCAGCGGGGGCGCTGCTGGCTGCCGGCGGGCGGCGCGGGTGCGGTGACTCCCCCGCGGCTGCAGGGGGCGCTGCGGGTGGGCTCGGGGCGCCCTGGCAATGGCGGCTCGGCGGAGACAGGCGGGGCGGAGGAGAGGCTTTGTTCACAAACCCCCGGGGCGGCCGATCTTGGCGTCCCTCACAGGATTCTCGGGAGCAGCAGGCTGGAAATGGCAGGAATGAGCTGAAATCCTGGGGCAGTGAAAGAGAGTGTCCCAAAACTCCACGGCGAATAGCTGGAAGCTGTGGGGTGTCCTGGCAGGGCAGGGGAATGTGGAGGCCCAGCGGCAGAAGAAAGGTTCCCTGCTGGATTGCAGTGGTAGTAGGAGAAGGCAGCAAGGATGGAGCTGCACAGTGGTGGCGATTTCTGTCCACTGTGCCCACAGCCCCTCTCCAGTGCCGAGAAAGTGAGAGCCAGCCAGGAGCTGTCCTCAGCCCCTTCTCTCAGCCTGAATCTCCCCATCCTCCACATCGCCCCCAGAAAAACTCCCAAAAACTAAGAGTTCCCCTTCCCTGCCCTTCTCAAACCATCGGTTCCTATTAGCAACTCAGTGCAAAGAAATTCTACAAGTTTCCATAGGAAAGAACAGAAAAAACCGAAACCCAACCCCCAACAGCGTCCCAGTCCTCTTACCAACATTGTGACCACCCTTTGGATTTGCTCCAACCATTCCATGTCCTTTTTATGTTGGAGACACGAGAACTGTACATGGCACTCCAGGTGGGGTCTGACAAGAGCAGAGAGGGAGAACGGCCTGCAGACCATGCTGCTTTTGGTGCAGCACAGGATTCAATAATGGTAGACACTGGTGGACTTAGATTAGGATTTTGACATTACCTCCCATGAAGCACAATGCTCCCAGTCTGGAAAAAACACTGTTTAGGAAACTTCCATGGCTGAACCCAAAACTATGGAAAAAGCCCAAAAGAGCAGTGGGTATTGGAAGAACAACATGGTGTCTATTCCATGCTTGACAAGATCCCATTTCCATTACCATTCATAAGTGACCACTATGGGAAAACTGTCCAGTGTGCTGCAGGATGAGACAGCATCTGAACATGAATCTTGAAAAAACATCAAGATTCAAACTGTCCAAAATAAAGTGGAATTCTAGAAAAGAGGAGAGTGATAGTTAAGGAAAGAAAACCAAATAAGCAACGAGGAACATCTGGCTGAGCAACCAATTAAAATTGCATCAGAGGAGATTTAGATTGGATATTAAGAAAAACGTCTTTAAGTTTTAAGAAAAACAACAAAAGGGATGTCGTGCAAGGGACATGGTGAAGTCACCATTCCTGAAGGTATTTAGAAGATGTGTAGGGACACTGAGGGCTAAGTGCTGGACCTGGCAGTGCTGGGTTAATGATTGGACTTGATGATCTTACAGGTCTTTTGCAACCTAAAAGACTGTTTAGAAAGAGATCAGGAGATTAAAGTGGATCCCAAAAGCCATGTGAGACTGCTGCATGGGACTACTGGTGCTAATGAAATAAAAATACTACCCAAAAGAACTGTATCTTTCTAGTGGAGCACCTTAATTGAAACATATGTAGTATATCGAAAGTAATTATGAAGCTGTAATCAATAGTGCCAAAACTTTAGTACAGTGCTTATTTTGGCATTTTACCATAAAAAATTACATCTACTTGGTGGAACCCTGAAAAAATGCTGGTAGGATCTACATTCATTAAAGAAAAGTGCAAGGAACTGGTTTTTCTTTTCCAGGACAAAGGCAGAGCTGTAGAAAAATCCTTCAGTGATTATGAGGCAAAGGCATAAACACTAAAGGAAAAAAGAAATTGTTTAATGTCAATTACAATTGCACCATGCTCATTAACAATTACCCACCAGAGAGGCTGGAGGACATTTTGAGGGTAAGCATTCACAAAAACCCCTAAAACAATGTTCTACTGCTGTGCTTTTTCATTGGCTGCTCCATGTGAGATCAACAGCTATACCTGTCACATTGCCATCTGCTTCTGCCTATCACTTCCATAGAACCCTGGTCCTCTGTTATTATAGATGTGGTTGCATAAATAAGGGGAGTGGTGGTCTGAGATAATGGTTCCTAAAATAGTTCTGGGAAAGAAATATTCTCTTTTATGCCAAGCTGAAGTGCCCGAGACACCAAGTATCAATTAATAGGAAAAAGACCCCAACCAAACAATGATTCTGAAATTTCTCTGCTAGAATTACACTAAAATCAAAGTGATTCAAAAATCACTTCTTGCACCTTAATCCTTTGTTCTCTTTAATTAATCAGCTAGTCTACCTGTCCTAGTTAGTTTTAATCTGTGGAACCCATCCATATCAACTAACAGTATCTCAAATAATCCTTAGACACAAGAGCTGTTAGCACAAGCCTGTGGCCATTCCCTGTTTACATACAAGCACCCTATTTTGGAAGGTAAGAGGATGTAATAGTGCGGACATTAACCATTCTGTTCCATAAGCATTTTCTGTCTTCAACAAGCTTAGCAGACTAATAAAAAAGCAGTCAATACAGCTTTTTGTGGAACAGTGCTTAGGGACATGCCCTGTGTTTAACTACCAAGCATAGATGTATGTGTGAGATGAATACTGCCTTGTCTACCACAAGACCATGATAGGTGAGGCAGAGGAGGGCAGAGCTGCTTTGACTAAGCAGTTCAACATTTTCTGCAAGATTTATCAAGCCAAGTGTGAAGATGTAACAAAATATGTAATTGGAGTAATGCAGCAGTCCTGTTTAACCAAAAAAACCAGAAGTTAATTACCTCTAACAGCACATGACTGAGGTCATCCAAGATGTCCCAACAACATCTGTGTCATTTGTATCATCCCAGTCTCAGAAGCGAGACTTGTGTCACTCAGGAAGGTGGGCTTGTTTTCTGTCATTGAGGGCACAGTACAGCTTATTTCCATTCATCAAAACTCTTCTCCAAAACATCTCCGTAGCAGGGTGACCACCTCCAAACTTCTCACTGGGAAGAACAATCTGATGCTATCCCATGAACTGTGCACAGGCATTTCCTGAGAGAGGGATATCTTGCTTAGACTGTACCTGTAGCAGGAACTGTTTAACACCATGGACAGTTGAGGACTGGCACACCATCCTGAGCCCTCATCATCCTTAATTTGCTGATACAGGTGTAGCCAAGTACAGGCTGGAGCTGGAGCTGGAGCTTTGCTGTGAACCTAGAACCAGACAAGATGGTTTTGGACAGGTGGCTTTGGCATTTCCTCTTGAGTAGGTCAGACACCACACTAGTTGTTGTAGATTTTTGTAGTTGATGTAGATTTTCATTTACTAACCAGAAGAATAAGACATCTTCCCTTAGCGTTGTACATTTTGTTCCCAGAGCTAAATTAACTTCCTGGTATTACAAGCCTGTGTACCCCCCTAGGTCTGGCCCTTGATGATCCAAGGTGTAA